TCACTTGACATTGATCAGAAGGAGGTTGGGCAACTTTTACACATTGGAATATATAGCTAAGATTATAAACGGAGCCGAGGTGATATACTTGGGCTTCTCTTCAAGTTTATTTTCCCCATTTTAACTCAGATACATCCAGCAGCCATGGCTTCAAAAGCATATGATTAAATATTAGAAAACATATAACTTATAAAAATGGAGGTGATCCCTCATGTTGTCAGTCAGTACCAAAACAAACAAAGAAAAACAAAGGTGGTGATGGTCAGAAAAAGAGCATAAAAAAGACCAAGATACGTGTATGTCTCAGATATGCTGCACTAACTAGTCTTGTTTTTAATGAGTCTGTGTTTATTAAAAAAAAAAATAGCAGACGAGGTAAGGGTGAAGTCTTTTTTGTCTTTTAGCAGTTTTTCTTTTGGGCTAAGTCCATGATAAAAAAACCACCATGCAAACAGCAAATAATTCTTTCGAAACTGGCCCCCACTTCATTCCTCTTTAACCCAACAGATCTTGCCATTTTCTCCAAGCTGCACAGTTCCACTGGCCACCAGCTGGAGGGCTGCCGGGAATATTTTGTGTTCTGCTAATTTTACTCTTTCAGAAAGAGTTGTGACAGTGTCACCCCTCTTCACGGGAACAGCTTCTTGCAAAATAATTTGTCCAGCATCTACATCTTCCTGGAAAAGTAAGCAAAAGTTTTAAACATTACCTTCTAACCAGTGTAATTTACATCTGAACACTAATATTATGTTGGTAGAAAAAGACATACTCACAGCTACAAAGTGTACAGTGCACCCAGTAATTGTGACTCCCGTTTCCAGGGCTTGCTCATGGGCATTTGAACCCTTAAAAGAAGGGAGCAAGGATGGGTGGATATTGAGCATTTTTCCTAAAAGTGAAAAAGGGCATAGTGGTCAGAATTTAAAAATCCTGGGTATTCTATTAAAGGAATATATTTTCCTATCTAGATCAGATGTCAAACAGGAGTTGGATTACTGGGATGGGTGTTTTCTTTGCCAAACACAGAAATGAGATAAAAGTAAGTTCTCATCCAAGAAGGCCCTGAGAGCAACAAGTACCTGCTCTGTACAGCCAAGTACACACTGGGGTGCTCTGAATAGGTACCCACGGTGACTGGAAGGTGGGAAGTTTAAGCCGAATACCAGCTTGTTGCTGGCACATACTATTAAAAAGAAGTAAGAGGTTCCTACATAGTGTCTATGTGCATGACTTCTAACCACAAAGTGACCTGTCCACCAGACAGATGCTAGATTAGTTCTGTGTGGCTTATGTCACCAAAGGCATTGTATATTTTATATCACACTGCAAGTGCTCTAACTACATTTACCTAAGAATACATAAACTCTTTGGAGGCAAAATGTATTTATTGATCCACTGTGTGGAAACACACACAAATAGGATGCAGTCAAGGCTTTTGGGGAGAAGGCAGTAACATAGACAGTATGTGTTTTCTGGCAATAACCTCTTCCTTGCCAACTTTTGGCAATGGTCTTTGCCTCCTAAGAGAGGATGGACTCTTCAATTTGGGATATACAGAATAACTCTCTTTTGCTTCTAAACAAGGAAAGTCTTCTGAATATTTATTCAGAAGATGAAATATCTTTACAGTAATGTGAAATAAAACTAAGCTACATTAGAAAAAGTGATTAGTTACGGCAAGCCAAAAAAAAAAATGGATACAGAACAGGTTAATAAATCATCATTGGGTCATTCTTTAGAGTAAAACAAAGGATATTAAATTGTGACCTGTGTTAAAGTATTAATAAAACATCACAGTCAATAGTTCACTACTGGGATTGTTTGGCATGTTAACTGTTCTGGATACCATTTTCAACTGATTTCTCAATGTGATGTCAAATAATTTTGGCTTACCATTCCACTTTCTGACAAACGGGCCAGAAAGAATTCTCATGAATCCTGCAAGACAGACTATGTCTATGGAGAATTCTTCAAGGACTAGGTCAATTGCATTGTCAAATTCTACACGATTTTTATACAGTTTATGATTAATTACCTGTAATACAAAAAGATAAGCACACCTTTTTCAATGAATTAACAAAAATAGTTTAACATACTTCACTTCCTTGTAAAGATATACCTGATAGATTATTAAGAGAGGGACAGGATGGAGAAGGCAAGCCCAGCACCCACCCAAAATGCCTAAGTCCAAAGAACAAGTGCCCCACAGACCTGGGTCCTGTGAGGGCAGATTACGAGCTTAAATATGGCCCACAGGAAAGATACTTTCTCAAGTAACTTACTCTGGTGGGAATACCAGCTTTTTCTGCTTTATTTAACCCAGCCACTGCGGCTTTGTTGGAGATAACAACATCAATTTGTGCAGAGCTATTTGGTTCCTGAGTCCTGTCTATGAGTGCTTGCAGGTTCGATCCTAAGAAGGGAGAAAAACACCAGTGAGCTCACACTTTTTCTTTTTTTTGAGACAGAATCTCTGTCTAGGCTGAGAGTGCAGTGGCATGATCTTGGCTTACTGCAACCTCCGCCTCCCGGGTTCAAGTGATTCTCCTGCCTCAGCCTACCAAGTAGCTGGGATTACAGGAGCTCACCAACATGCCTGGCTAATTTTTGTATTTTTTTTTTTTTTTT